ACACGGGCACACAGGGCCGGGCACACTCTGGCACAGCTCTCCTGGCCCTGATGCCCCCGGGCTCTCTCCTCGTGGGACCGTGACACGGTGGGCACGGGGACGTTGTGGCACCGTTTAAAGAGCCCCCTCTGTGCCCTTGGGGTGGGGACACACAGGCCTGTCCTAAAGGAAAGGTCAGAGAGAGACCACGCTGGATTCTGCTGCTTGCCTCTCACCCTCCAAGGGCCAAACTGAGCCCGTTTTGCTGTCCTGTGTTCCCCAGAGCCTGAGTAGCTCGACGAGGGAGAGGATTGGGAAGGTTGATTGAGGGTCACTGCTGGTGCACAGCACTCGGGGCATTTTTCGCCCCTGACATTACCGTGGGCTGTTGGGGGAGGAACTCACAACAGCCTGAGCCCACTGCCTCAGGAGCTTGTGCTCTGTCAAGGGGCCCCTTTCGCTCCTTACCTGAGGAGGGGAACGTGTGGCTCTGGTGCTGGGGAGGGCAGCTCACACTCCCCTGGGCATAGGGTAAGGAAAGCTCCAGGCCTCTCTGCAGGGGGGACAGGGACTTTGAAACCAAGGTGTTCATCAAGATTTCATCTCGGACTGAAAGGAGGAAAGGTGTCTGTGTTATGCATGGAAATTTGAGTGGAAAACAACTGCAATTTCTAATAAAGAATTCTCATCAATGTAAGGTCTCCTGTTTTCTAAAGAAGTTTTGTTTCAGTCAGACAGAAAATCACTTTCTGATGTACAGCAGTCACTGCTGACTTAAGGCACACTTTTACAAGGCATATATTCAGTTTTCTACAGCAGTGCTAGAGATTCTAGGAGCATCTGAATCCCTGCAGTGTAACAAAGCCTTTGAGACCCAGCTGTCAGAGGGCAGCCACGGGCAGGAAGGCAGCTGCACCTGGTTAGCAGGAGATTAAATTGGAACCATAAAGGCAAGTTCACTTTTTAGGCAGATAATGTCTCATCCTGTCGTCCCCTTGGTTTTCTGCTGGGTAAATATCATGACTGGAGCTACTGACAGTGCCATGGGAAGAGCTGGGAGCTCCTGGCCAAGGGTGGATTTGCTGCTTCTGACACTGCTAAACTATCTCATGGCTCCCCTGGGGTCCAGAAACTTCTGCTGGAAACTTTGTTAGAAAAACTACTGCCGTCTTTTCTAGGCATCTTTTCCTTTGGGATCCTCCTAACAGTTCTGAGTTAGCTCCCTGGCCTCACTGCATCCGTTTCTAAATTCAGCTCTTAGGTAGAAGGATCCTTCCAAGCCAAAAGGATTTCTGAAGCAGTCCTAACCTGCAGCACCTGGGTGCCTTCAGGCCATCCATCCAAAAGGAAAAGTGACTTCTGGACCCTGAGAGAGCCCAGTGATCTCTTGGCAGGAGAAATCAGGAGTGGAGAAGGTGATTCCAGCTCTGCTGGTTGCTGTTCCTCCCCATTAGACAGGAGAGGATCAAGCACATTCCATCAGCCTTTACTTCCTCAGGGCCTGAAACCCTGAGGAGACAAGGCCACCTCAGGGCCATCAGATCCCACCAGGGAGAAGGAAATGCTAAAAACATCACCATGGTCTCAGCCAACAAAATGAGGAACTTTTCTTGTGGGTCCCCAATACCATTTCCAACAAATCCCAGCTGGTTTTGAAAATCACATTCAGGGGGCAAAACCAATAATGAATCACAGGCACCTGAGGTAAAATTAGGGACACAGAAAAGAAATTTCTCTTTGTTTTTAACAGAGGCAGATTTTCATCTTTTAAGCACAAATCTTCTCTGACACACAGAAGAACATTAAATACAGAAACAGTTCCAACTTGAAACATTTGCTTTTTGGCAATTCTATTTGTACATGAAGTGTGGCTGTATGAACACTACTGAAGCACACAAATACTGAGACTACTACTGCAAACTGCAGAAATTACTGACATTCTCTTCTACTGGCAGCAAGAGTAAACATGTCTAAAGGTTTCTTTGAATGGAGAGCAGCTACAAGGAATGGTTTTGACATCAAAATCAACTGGAAAACAACGATTTCAGGAAAAGTGTTAAAGAAACCAACACTATTTCAGATATTTTCTCCGTCAAATTTTTAGGACAAGTCACACAAACTTAACTGCCTGAGGTAGTAAGAGAGAATTCAATTACACTGTAAGACTTGGCTTGTTCGGGGAAAGGAGGGAGCAGCAGAAGCTTAGCAAAGCTTTGCCAACTTTCAATCCTCCCAAAGAGAATAAAATAAAATCGACTACAGTACTGACCTTCTAGTACTACTGACAGTATTGCTACAAGAGATTATTGTTGTAGTATTGCTACAGATTGAAAATCAGTGTGAGAAAAGACCCTCACTTTTAAAATTTTTTAAAGGTTTATTAAACCGTGACAAAAATTACAACAAAAGACACAACAAGGAAAAATCACAGCACTGGCAGGACAGCCCTCCTCAGCAGGCTCCAGCCGGGTTTTCTCTCCTGACAGCTCAAGTCTGGCCTCTTCAAGAGCAGAGCTCGCTGTGCCCCCAGGGCTTTGCTGCTGGGAGCACTGGGAGAGATCCTGGGAACACTGGGAGGGAACTGGGAGCACAGGGAATGCCAGAGGGAACTGGGAGGGAGAGTGGGAGCAGCGGGAGTGAGCGGGAAGGAGCCCTGGGAGGGAAATCAGGAGCCCTGGGCAGGAACAGTGCTCCCAGTTCCTGCCCAGTGCTCTCCCCATCCCTGCTGGGCTTGCCAGGAAGAGGGGGGATACTGGCAGGGAACTGGGAGGGAGTTCCTCAGCACTCTGCAAGGGCAGCAGCCCCAGGGGGGACCAGTGAGGAGGGGGAAGTGCCCCCAGTCCCTCCCCAGAGCCCCCAGAATGGGGCATTACAAGGAGAAAAGGGATTGAAATGGAGGGGGGAAAGCTTTTCTGTGATTGTGTTTGACCTGGGGGGATCCCCATTCACCTGTGATTTGAAGGGTCTCAACTGAAGGAAAACTCACCTTTTTCATCTTTTTGGCTGCCTCCCTTGGTGGGCAGTCATTGCTTTCCATGATTTTCATGTTTAAATGGAAGGAGGAACCCTTTATGGCGCTGTTTGAGGTGAGGGAAAGAGCCCCATTTCCATCATCTTCAGGTTCAAACTGAGCCAACACGGCTGCCCCTGGTCTGAAAGGGCTTCCCTGGAGAGGAACCTCTTGGTGTGCCACTGTAAGAGTTCCATCGAGGGGCACCTCCATTTGAAGGGACCTTCACAGGTGAAAAAGATGTCCAAAAGCCCCCAGAATGGTCTTGGTTGAGGGAAATTGAAGAGGGAAGCTGCATTTCCCCTCGTTTTAGGAGGCTAAATTGAGGCAAAGGCCCTTCTGTGAGAATAACTGGGGCTGTGTGTGATTGGCACAGAGCAGGAGCAGCCTTGCCCTCAGCAGGTCACAGCCCTGGCCCACGAGGATGTGTCACAAAAGGGTCGGGAAAGGCCACAGGACCTCAGCTCAGATGAGGCTTTTGACAGAGCCCAGAGATCTCCTCCTGGAACTCTGAAAACACAGGAAAATCAGGAGACAGCCCTGGCTGAAGGCACAGCAACCCTGCTGGAACAAGAGAAGGGACTAAAGGCTGAGCAGGCAGCGCAGGGAACGGCTGCAGACAGCCTGTTCAAAGAGAGGCATCTGCAGCTGGAGAGCAAAACAGAGAGATCCCAAAGTGACACCATGTCTTGTGCATAGTCACACAAAGATAGCTCAAAGTTCATGAAAAGCCAGTCATGAGTAAGGTAATGGTGTCTTATGAAGAATGCCTGTTATCAAAATGAGTGAATTCACATGATGGAATCGATCCATCAGCAGTGACTGTCTCAGGAATTGGAGCCAATATTCTTCCAGCATTGCTGTACCCACAACAATGGAACACTGAACAGCTTCCAGTGGATAACAGCCATCATGTGGAACAACCACCCTCTCTCCTGTGCTATCTGTGGAAGATAGAACAGAAGAGATCACAGTGAATGATCCTGTCAGGCAGGGCAGCACTGGCACCTGTGCAAGCTGTGAGAGGATCAAGGGCCCAACAAGCTGTAGCTTCTCCTGTCCAAAAGCAGGTGCTTATCAGTGTTTCATCACAGCTGTTTCAGTGGCATCTGTCTTATCTCTAGAAGAAAATAACCACATCTTGCAATGTAAACAAGCATATTTAAACAAAATTAACTTAGGAGTTGAAATTAATTGCAGTGGAATTCAATTTCACCTCAGTGGCATTAGAGGTACACTTAAGAGAATTTAAAGTAACATCTTTAATACTGAATAAAAATTGATCTTAATAAAACTGGAATAGAACATGAAATGGCTTAAAGTGAAGACTTAATCTTGACTTTGTCTAAACTCAGCAATACTCAAACCTGACAGAAATCCACCTTGACATAAATGATTAGTAAAAAAATTATCTCAATAGAGTAGTAAAGGTAACATTACTCAGGAATGTTGCTAACCTTGCTTAATCTTACCAACACTAAAATCATAATCAAATAAACCAGAACTGAAGTAACAATCAATATCCTTAAAAGCTCTGGGTACTACAAAATGTACCTTATTCTGCTGCTATTAATACCAATAGGCATTGAAAATGTGAACCAAGCGTGGCTGATATAACGGCCTGATGGATTTACTGGAGGGGTTAGAAAAGTGTTGACAAATATGGTGGCCCTATGTAATTTAACATTGAGAAAAACTCATGGCAGCTACAAATTATATGGAACCATAAATTTCCTCAGACCTTTTAAAGTGTAACTGTACTGAAAGAAACAACAATGAAGAATTTGACAAACTGTCCAACAAACCGGCAGCTTCTCGAGACTGTATTTAGTGTAACAGCACGTGGTAAATGTTTGCAGCATTTCTGTTAAAGGAAAGAGACGGGCGGGGGGGGGCGCTCGCGGCTCTGATTGGTCAGATCGGCCAAAATCCCTCCCCCACACGGAGTCGCCATAAAGTTGAAGCGGCACCAGCCACGCCCATCACTGCTGCTGGAACCGGAGCAGCGGGAGCAGCCAGCGCCCGGCAAGAGGCTGCGGAGCTTGGAGGCGGCTTCCACACTGGCGCGACCCGCGGTCGGTTTTGCCCCAGCTCGGGGCCAGGGGTTCTGGTGAGTTCCATGTGCTGGATTTCTCTGTTCACAGGCAGGGAGCTCCGAGGCGCCGGGGAAGGGAATGCGGGGCACAATGGTGAGCAGCCCGGGGCTGCTGCTTCTTGCCCCTCGGCAGGGGCGGGCTCCGAGCCGCTGCTGCCCCGGGCCAGCAGCAGCCGGCAGCTCCCGTTCCAGGGCCGAGGGCGCTACGAGCCGAGGCGGGCAGGCAGCGTTGCACACACGAGCGCGGGCAGCGACAGGAGCGGCTTGGAGGCTGTGGGCTGGGCACAGCAACGGCATTGGCGGAGCGGGGCCACACCGAGGGTGGGCGGGGCGCGGAACCCGCCGGCCCCAGCGGCGCGGGGCGGGGCGAGCGGCGGTGAGGGTGCGAGGGTGCGAGGATGCTGGCCCCGGACACCTGGCCTGGCCCGGCCCAGCCCGAGAATCCCTGCCACCATTCCCTGCACCATTACCCGGCCCCACGGCGGCTCCGGCTCCGCGGGCAGGCGGCTCCAGGAGTTCAGAGTGGGCAAAATGGGAGCGAGGGAGAGGAGGCAGCTGGTGCCAGTGGGTGAAATGGCTTTGCTGGAGCTGGCAGGGAGAGGAGGAGGAAGGAGAAAGTGGTGCCAAGTAAAGGGGAGACAAAGAGCGACAAGGCTGGAGCGGTGGAAGGCGGCGGAGATGGCCATGGGGCAGGCGGGCATTTTGCTTTGCAGCTCTGTGGGAGGAAAGGAAGAACTGTCAAATCCGTGCAGGAAAAGAGGAGAGAAACAGATGATGGTGGATATCATCGATAGTAGAGATTCATTTTATCTGCCTGAACTGTAAAGGCTCTGCGGGGGGCAGGGCCGTCACAGCTCCTGTCCCGAAAAACTCGCAATAAAAAAGGGAACCCACGCCGGAGAACCTGGGCAAGAACCTCAGCCCCCGGGGAAGCTGCTTGTGGGGTCTCCCCTGCAGCGGGCCGCGACCCTCCGCTCTCCCCCCGCGGTGCACGGACGGCCCCTCGCTGCTTTCCCGCACGCTGAATGCTCAAAACGGCCAAAAGCGGCCCCCACACCGACACCGGCTCTAAACTACGGTGGTAGCGGCCGTGCCCGCTGTGTCTGCCTGGGACGGAGCGGCTGCGGCGGGCGGAGCGTTCGGGTCATTCCCCAGCGGGGGCAGCACCCGGTGCCCGGCGAGGCGGCGGCGGAGCTCGGAGGCGGCTCCAGGCCAGGCGCGACCCGCGGTCGGTGCTGCCCCAGCTCCCGGAGGCTGCGCTTGTCTCCGCAGCTGCTGCCGCACCTCTGGGCAGCGGGGACAGCGCAGCCACAGCTGCCACCGCCCTCCTGAGCCCCCAGCGCCGGCACCAGCAGTGACCTCTCCCCGTGTCCCTTTCAGGGTGCCAGCAGCGCGGCTGTGAAGCTGCTCCCGAGGCCGAGCTCCCAAAGGATCTGCCAGCAGCACTCCTGATGTGTCAGGAGCAAGGTGCTGATTGTTCCAGGCAGAGAGATGCCGGCTGTGAGCAGGAGGAGAGTGAACTCTGCTCCATTCGTGCAGTTGCGAATGAGCCCCAGCATCCCCAGCAGGGACCAGCAGCCGCGGTTCCACACCTGCCTGGGGCCCAAGAAGCCACCTGGCATCAGCAGGGGGATGCCACTTGTGAGTGTGCAGTGAGTGCAGATGTGGAGAATGGATTCTGCACCAGTGATGGGAGTGTGAGGGAGCCCCTGGCTCCCCAGGGCACATCAGGAACCAAGAATGAACACAAAAGGAACCGCAGAAGATTCCTGGGTGAGTGCAGGGCCACCCCTGTGGCCTCTAGGGTGGGGAGAGTGTCCCCTCCCAAGGGCAGGGCTGGCAGGTGTGTGGCTGTTTCCCGATGTCTGGCAGAGGCCTGGTGCTCTGCTGGGCCCCATCAGTGGCTGGAAGCAAGAGCCCCAGCTGCCCCCAAGGCTGTGCAGTTCTCCTGCTGCAGCCTGTGGCCACAGCTGTGTCCCTGCCTGTGGCCAGGCTCTTGGCTCTCTGGCTGCCAGCTGAGTGAGGCCCACACTGGCTCAGGGCTCCCTGCTCTGCTCCCTGGCCATGGGCTGAGCAGATTGCAGGCCCGGCTCTGCTTCTGGCAGCCAGCAGCTCTTTCCTGCTCCAGGTGAATGGATCAGGGGCCATCCCGTGGGCACGGCGGTGCTGATTCTGCTGCTCCTGGTGCTGGTGCTGGCTTTGGGGGTGGCCCTGGCTGTGCTGGCAGGTAAGGGAGGGGCAGCAGCCTGGGCCCAGCCCCTCGGGGCAGAGCGGGCTCCCTGCTCCCTGCACAGGGCAATCCTCAGACCTTCTCCTCTTCCCCCTGCAGCACCACAGGTTCCAGTCACAGCTGCGACTCCTCTGTCACTTCTGGGCTGTTCCCGTGGCTGGGTTGGCTACAATGGGGTCTGCTACTACTTCTCAAGGGATTACAGCACCTGGGATCAGGGTCAGGAACGGTGCTCCGAGCTCGGGGCCTCCCTGGCCATTGCCAAGGATGAGGAGGCCATGGTGAGTGAGGGGCTGCGGGCGGTGTGGGGTGGCTGAGGGCAGCCTGGGGCTGCTCCTGGGCCGGGCTCGGTGCTCGTAGGGCCGGGGCTGCAGCCCTGGGCCGGGGCCTTGCAGGGAAGGAGCCCCGGCGTGCGGGGGGAGCCCCGGGCCCGTGTCCCCCCGAGGGGCCGGGGCAGCTCCCACTCCTCCCCTCTCTCCTGGGCAGGATTTGCTCTTCCTCCTCCGCGGGAACGTCGATTTCTGGCTCGGGCTGCGCAGACGGGGCGAGCGCCTGCACTGGGGGGACGGCAGCAGCTACAGCTCCCGGTGAGTGCCGGGGAGCCGGGCAGGGCCTGGGGGCACAGGGGCACAAGGGCTGCCCCTGGCAGCCAGCGCTGCCTCTGCTCCTCCCTGCAGGGTTCCTGTCCTCGGCGATTCCCAGTGTGTGTACCTGGCTGACAGGAGATTGAGGAGTGACAACCGCTCCAATGAGCGGCCGTATCTCTGCAGCAAGGCCCCAGCTCCCCTGTAACAGGGGCTGCAGAAAGGACCTTCTCCACACTGGGCAGTGCCAGCTTCACCTCTGAGCCCAGCACAGCGCTGTCCTTCCTCAGCTGCACCCTGTGCCTTGCACTTCCTCTCAGGGTCACCTCAGTGCCTCTTCATGGCCAGTGCCAACGCTGGGCTGGGGCTGCAAAGGAAAAGTCTCTGCAATCCATCCTGCCACCGCTGCTGCCTGCAGTGAGTGCATTGCCCTCATGACACAACAAGCTGCAATGGGAAATCCAAATTGCCCTGGGCTCTTGGAAATCATCACAAACTGGCCTGAATGTGGCACTTGTGAACTGTCCTTGTCAGAGGAGGAAGAGCAGCTGACACATGCTGAGGAGGAATCTCACATCCTGCATCAGGCACCTGACTGCGAAGAATGGTCTGTCTGTCTGTTGCAAAGGATCTGACTGTCCTCCTGTGGGAGGAATCCCAGGCTGAAGCAAGACAAGGATTTCTCTCCCTGAGGGAGAAGCAGAGACATGACATGACTGTTACCCCCATCCCTCTGTGCCACCGTGTGGTGTGGAGGGATAGAATCAGGGTAAATGAAGGCCAGGAAGGAGAGAATGGTGTGGAGAAAATGCATTTTTAGCTTGTGGTGAACATCTCCTTCCCTTTGTTTTGTTTGATAATAAATTCATTTAAATTTATTTTCCCCACCCCAGGCCTGTTCTACCCATGATGAATGAGAGATCTCTGTCTGCCTTTCTTGAGAGCCCCGAGCCTTTCCTGCTGTGTTCTGTTGCCTGCCCAGGGCCAGGAGCAGAGGCACAGAGCGCTTTTGCTGGGCCCGGGTACCAGGCCCAGCCCAGCCCAAGAATCCCTGCGAGAATTCCCTGTTGAGAGCCCCAGGAGCGGCTTCCCCAGGGCTGCGCTTCTTCTCCGGCCTCAGTGGCCTGGGGACTTTTGTCCTAGGACGGCTTTTGTGGGCACCGGAGCCTCGGTGCCCCCGCGGCGCGCTGCACTCTTTGCCGCCCCGCTCGGTCGCTGCTTTCCCTGCTGGTGGCGCTCGGGATCGCTGCCGTCAGCAACTGAGCCGAAACCCCGCCGGCACCGAGCCCGCCTCTGACGGGGAGCGGTGGCAGCAGCGGCAGCGCCCGCGGAGCCGCACCGGTGGGTGTGCCGGGACCGGAGCGGCGGGCGGGTCATTGCGTTTGTCCCGTCCCGGAGCGCGGCGAGGCGGCGGCGGAGCTCGGAGGCGGCTCCAGGCCAGGTGGGAGCCGCGGTCGGTGCTGCCCCAGCTCGGGGCTCGCTGCGGGCGGAGGGGCCGCGCTGAGGGCCGGGGGTTTCTGGCGAGTTCCTGCTGGCGGCTTCCCCCGTGTCCCCCCTGCGCTGGGATCGCCGAGGGAGCGGCTGCCCGCGCTCTCCTCCTTGCCCGGATGGCCGGCATGGAGCCGGTGCCGCGGCCGCGCTGGCTCATCCCGGCTGCTCTCGCTGGCACGGAGGAGGCTGCTCCGTGCCCGGCGCCGTTCCCGCCCGTGCGGCACCGGGCTCGGGGCCGCTGCTCGGGGGGGAGGTGTCCGTGCCCGGCTCGGGGCTGGCACGGGATGAACTTGAACGGGCCTCAGAGCCCAAAGCGCTGCAGGCGCCGAGTGCGGGCACAAAGCGCCGCATCCTGCCTGCTCCGGGGCCGAGGCTGCTCGGCGCTGCCCTCGGTACCGGGACCCGCTCCGTGTCCACAGGCAGGGAGCCGCAGCGGCCGTGCCGGCTCTCGGTGTGCCCGGGCTCCGAGGCGCCGGGGCAGGGAATGCGGGGCACAATGGTGAGCAGCCCGGGGCTGCTGCTTCTTGCCCCTCGGCAGGGCCGGGCTCCGAGCCGCAGCTGCCCCGGGCCAGCAGCAGCCGGCAGCTCGCAGGCGCTGTCAGCGCCCGGCCCGGCACGGAGCTGGGCTGCAGCGGCTGCAGAGCCACAGGGGCCGGGGCTGCGGGCACCGAGAGCTCCCGGAGGCTGCGCTTGTCTCCGCAGCTGCTGCCGCACCTCTGGGCAGCGGGGACAGCGCAGCCACAGCTGCCACCGCCCTCCTGAGCCCCCAGCGCCGGCACCAGCAGTGACCTCTCCCCGTGTCCCTTTCAGGGTGCCATCAGCGCGGCTGTGAAGCTGTTCCCGAGGCCGAGCTCCCAAAGGATCTGCCAGCAGCACTCCTGATGTGTCAGGAGCAAGGTGCTGTTTGTTCCAGGCAGAGAGATGCTGGCTGTGAGCAGGAGGAGAGTGAACTCTGCTCCATTCGTGCAGTTGCGAATGAGCCCCAGCATCCCCAGCAGGGACCAGCAGCCGCGGTTCCACACCTGCCTGGGGCACAAGGAGCCTCTTGGCATCAGCAGGGGGATACCACTTGTGAGCATGCAGTCAGTGCAGATGTGGAGAATGGATTCTGCACCAGTGATGGGAGTGTGAGGGAGCCCCTGGCTCCCCAGGGCACATCAGGAACCAAGAATGAACACAAAAGGAACCTCAGAAGATTCCTGGGTGAGTGCAGGGCCACCCCTGTGGTCTCCAGGGTGGGGACAGTGTCCCCTCCCAAGGGCAGGGCTGGCAGGTGTGTGGCTGTTTCCCGATGTCTGGCAGAGGCCTGGTGCTCTGCTGGGCCCCATCAGTGGCTGGAAGCAAGAGCCCCAGCTGCCCCAAGGCTGTGCAGTTCTCCTGCTGCAGCCTGTGGCCACAGCTGTGTCCCTGCCTGTGGCCAGGCTCTTGGCTCTCTGGCTGCCAGCTGAGTGAGGCCCACACTGGCTCAGGGCTCCCTGCTCTGCTCCCTGGCCATGGGCTGAGCAGATTGCAGGCCCAGCTCTGCTTCTGGCAGCCAGCAGCTCTTTCCTGCTCCAGGTGAATGGTTCAGGGGCCATCCCGTGGGCACGGCGGTGCTGATTCTGCTGCTCCTGGTGCTGGTGCTGGCTTTGGGGGTGGCCTTGGCTGTGCTGGCAGGTAAGGGAGGGGCAGCAGGCTGGGCCCAGCCCCTCGGGGCAGAGCGGGCTCCCTGCACAGGGGAATCCTCAGACCTTCTCCTCTTCCCCCTGCAGCACCACAGGTTCCAGTCACAGCTGTGACTCCGCTGTCACTTCTGGGCTGTCCCTTTGACTGGGTTGGGTACATGGGGGTCTGCTACTACTTCTCACAGGATTACGGCACCTGGGAGCAGGGTCAGGAACGGTGCTCCGAGCTCGGGGCCTCCCTGGCCATTGCCAAGGATGAGGAGGCCATGGTGAGTGAGGGGCTGCGGGCGGTGTGGGGTGGCTGAGGGCAGCCTGGGGCTGCTCCTGGGCCGGGCTCGGTGCTCGTAGGGCCGGGGCTGCAGCCCTGGGCCGGGGCCTTGCAGGGAAGGAGCCCCGGCGTGCGGGGGGAGCCCCGGGCCCGTGTCCCCCCGAGGGGCCGGGGCAGCTCCCACTCCTCCCCTCTCTCCTGGGCAGGATTTGCTCTTCCTCCTCCGCGGGAACGTCGATTACTGGCTCGGGCTGCGCAGACGGGGCGAGCGCCTGCACTGGGGGGACGGCAGCAGCTACAGCTCCCGGTGAGTGCCGGGGAGCCGGGCAGGGCCTGGGGGCACAGGGGCACAAGGGCTGCCCCTGGCAGCCAGCGCTGCCTCTGCTCCTCCCTGCAGGGTTCCTGTCCTCGGCAATTCCCAGTGTGTGTACCTGGCTGACAGGAGATTGAGGAGTGACAACTGCTCCAGTGAGCGGCCGTATCTCTGCAGCAAGGCCCCAGCTCCCCTGTAACAGGGGCTGCAGAAAGGACCTTCTCCACACTGGGCAGTGCCAGCTTCACCTCTGAGCCCAGCACAGCGCTGTCCTTCCTCAGCTGCACCCTGTGCCTTGCACTCCCTCTCAGGGTCACCTCAGTGCCTCTTCATGCCCAGTGCCAACGCTGGGCTGGGGCTGTAAAGGAAAAGTCTCTGCAATCCATCCTGCCACCGCTGCTGCCTGCAGTGACTGCATTGCCCTCATTATATGTGGGAAACATGGCTCAGTATTTGCACTATTTATAATAATTTATTAGGGGTTAAAATCCCACCCTGGCATGCTTGTCTGCTTGCACAGGGTTAACTTAAACTATGTTTTCTATATACTGTTACATATTAGAGCTACATGCATATTTATATGCGTTTTTAAGAATCCAAACACAACTTTGAATTTACATGCTGTTTTGCTTTTTTAACTTTTGACTCGTCTTCAGGGTATTTTGTACCTTAAACTAGTATATTCCATGGTTTCTTGTGATTCTTTTTGTATTTTCACTCCCTGAAACTGAGGGTCAATAAAGACTTTTTTTCCCATGCTTGTTTCTGTGACCTTGTCTTTCTGATAAGCAAGTCCTTGAATGTGGGAAATCAGTTAATGATTTGACACCATTTTCTGAGTTAGTTACGTGAAACAATCATTCCAACATTACACAGTCTCTATTGTGCTATGGTCTAACATAGTATCTGTTTCATCAAATCTATAGGGTGCATACATAAACTGACAGATTATACTACATCTAAAGCAGTAATTGCAATTTGTACTGTATCAGGATTTTTGACATCCATAATAACTTGCAAAACAAAAGTTAGTACATAAATGCAGAAGCCAATACCTATATTTGTTATTTATAACATTATACAACAAGCTCAAATGGGAAATCCAAATCACCCTGGACTCCTGGAAATCATCACAAACTGGCCTGAAGGTGAGAATTTTGGACTGTCCTTGGAAGATGTGAGAAACAACCCTCACTTTTAAAATCTTAAAGGTTTTTTTAACCTTAAAAAAAATACAACAGACTAAATAAGGAAAAACTACAGCTCTGGGGGGTCTCTGGGAATAGCAGCCCTGTTCCCATTACAAAATGGATGCTCTGCCTTTTATACCCTCAGCCCCTCCCAAAGTTTTGTCAGTCAGCTCCTTCTCTGCCCTCCCCAGGTGGAGATCACTTCCTTACACCTTGATTGGAGCTCAGGTGTTGTCCTGTGGCCCCTCCTGGTAATGAGCCGGCCCTCCCCAAATGCCCCGAGGCTGCTGGGGCTGCTGCAAGGGGGAGGGAGAGGGGACTGTGGGGGGAGATATTACAGGGACAGCACTCTACAGCTACAGAGCTTCTCCTAATGTACACATAATATCTGTCTCTCAGTTGTGAGAGCCAACCATCACATCATTCATCTAGAACAAACCCCTCTTTTCTTTTCCTATGAGTCACTTGTCCCAAACAATTAGCTCTAATTTTTGTTTCTGATAATCTACTCTTACTTCTCAAATAAATTTTTAATGAGTCATAGTAGCATCTGTTGATGAGGGTGAGGACAGTGGGAAGAGAAGGAAAAAATCTCAGGTTTTCCTTAGACAGACTTATTTGGAATGGACAAAATGGGATCACTGAGCTCTGGTGTGGCTTTTTGAGCCCATCTACTGTGCCCATGGGGTTGCTACTCATAGCAGGTGTATCTTAGTGCTGAGTGCAGAGGCCAACTCAGTCTTGCCTTCTGGTCCCTGTTGTATTACAAGACAGCTGAGCAATGACAGAGCTCTGGGGTGCCTTTCCTGCCCCCACCTCACCATGGATATGGGATTGCTGCCCACAGCAGGGCTATGGAATCTTCTCCGTGGTGAACACAGGGGCCAACCTGGTCTTGCCCTCTATTTCTTGTTTCACTCTACTTGTTGGTCCTTAAGGAAACTGCCCCAATACTGCTGATTCTTCTCCTTACAAGAGCAGAGTGTACACAGAGAGCCAGGGGCCACTCCAGCCAGCAGAGCTAGGTAGTGACACATAAAAAACCACACATGTCTATATAAATATATATATATATATATATAGATATGGGTCTGTTTCTGTAGGTCGGAGAGCAGCTGAATGCACGGGGCCGTGTACCCAGAGCCATGTCCCTGGGCATGCCCCGCCATGAGTGCACACAGGCACATGTGCAGAGCCAGTGCTCACACACACATGTCCCTGCTCACCTGCACAGAGCTCCTGTGCCCCACGGCACCTGCCAGCAGCAGCCAGCCTGCCACAGCAGCACACCTGTGCTGCACAGACACTCACCTGTGCACAGTCCCCACCAATGCACACGGGCCCCAAGCAGGGCCCTGCTGGCACGTAGAGCCTGGGCACAGCAGTGTGTGCAGTGTCACCCACAGCAACACAGGCCTGTCCCACACAGAGCTGTGCTCACACCTGCACAACCTGTGCACACTCACAAGCACAGAGCTGTGCACAGCCCCACTCACAGCTGAGAGTGCAACGCACCCCCGTGCCCACAGCAGGGCACACAGCCCATGCCCAGGGCAGCACATCCCTGGGCACAGAGCTGGGCACAGCAGCACACACAGTGCCCATGGCAGGGCAGGACGTGTGCCCTCACCCCTGGGCACAGCACACACACACACAGTGCCCATGGCAGGGCAGGACGTGTGCCCTCAGCCCTGGGCACAGCACACACACACAGTGCCCATGGCAGAGCAGGACGTGTGCCCTCAGCCCTGGGCACAGCACACACACACACAGTGCCCATGGCAGAGCAGGACGTGTGCCCTCACCCCTGGGCACAGCACACACACACACAGTGCCCATGGCAGGGCAGGACGTGTGCCCTCAGCCCTGGGCACAGCACACACGGGCACACAGGGCCGGGCACACTCTGGCACAGCTCTCCTGGCCCTGACGCCCCCGGGCTCTCTCCTCGTGGGACCGTGACACGGTGGGCACGGGGACGTTGTGGCACCGTTTAAAGAGCCCCCTCTGTGCCCTTGGGGTGGGGACACACAGGCCTGTCCTAAAGGAAAGGTCAGAGAGAGACCACGCTGGATTCTGCTGCTTGCCTCTCACCCTCCAAGGGCCAAACTGAGCCCGTTTTGCTGTCCTGTGTTCCCCAGAGCCTGAGTAGCTCGAGGGAGAGGATTGGGAAGGTTGATTGAGGGTCACTGCTGGTGCACAGCACTCGGGGCATTTTTCACCCCTGACATTACCGTGGGCTGTTGGGGGAGGAACTCACAACAGCCTGAGCCCACTGCCTCAGGAGCTTGTGCTCTGTCAAGGGGCCCCTTTCGCTCCTTACCTGAGGAGGGGAACGTGTGGCTCTGGTGCTGGGGAGGGCAGCTCACACTCCCCTGGGCATAGGGTAAGGAAAGCTCCAGGCCTCTCTGCAGGGGGGACAGGGACTTTGAAACCAAGGTGTTCATCAAGATTTCATCTCGGACTGAAAGGAGGAAAGGTGTCTGTGTTATGCATGGAAATTTGAGTAGAAAACAACTGCAATTTCTAATAAAGAATTCTCATCAATGTAAGGTCTCCTGTTTTCTAAAGAAGTTTTGTTTCAGTCAGACAGAAAATCACTTTCTGATGTACAGCAGTCAGTGCTGACTTAAGGCACACTTTTACAAGGCATATATTTCGTTTTCTACAGCAGTGCTAGAGATTCTAGGAGCATCTGAATCCCTGCAGTGTAACAAAGCCTTTGAGACCCAGCTGTCAGAGGGCAGCCACGGGCAGGAAGGCAGCTGCACCTGGTTAGCAGGAGATTAAATTGGAACCATAAAGGCAAGTTCACTTTTTAGGCAGATAATGTCTCATCCTGTCGTCCCCTTGGTTTTCTGCTGGGTAAACATCATGACTGGAGCTACTGACAGTGCCACAGGAAGAGCTGGGAGCCCCTGGCCAAGAGTGGATTTGCTGCTTCTGACACTGCTAAACTATCCCATGGCTCCCCTGGGGTCCAGAAACTTCTGCTGGAAACTTTGTTAGAAAAACTACTGCAGTCTTTTCTAGGCATCTTTTCCTTTGGGATCCTCCTAACAGTTCTGAGTTAGCTCCCTGGCCTCACTGCATCCATTTCTAAATTCAGCTCTTAGGTAGAAGGATCCTTCCAAGCCAAAAGGATTTCTGAAGCAGTCCTAACCTGCAGCACCTGGGTGCCTTCAGGCCATCCATCCAAAAGGAAAAGTGACTTCTGGACCCTGAGAGAGCCCAGTGATCTCTTGGCAGGAGAAATCAGGAGTGGAGAAGGTGATTCCAGCTCTGCTGGTTGCTGTTCCTCCCCATTAGACAGGAGAGGATCAAGCACATTCCATCAGCCTTTACTTCCTCAGGGCCTGAAACCCTGAGGAGACAAGGCCACCTCAGGGCCATCAGATCCCACCAGGGAGAAGGAAATGCTAAAAACATCACCATGGTCTCAGCCAACAAAATGAGGAACTTTTCTTGTGGGTTCCCAACACCATTTCCAACAAAGCCCAGCTGGTTTTGAAAATCACATTCACATTCAGGGGGCAAAACCAATAACGAATCACAGGCACCTGAGGTAAAATTAGGGACACATAAAAGAAATTTCTCTTTGTTTTTAACAGAGGCAGATTTTCTTCTTTTAAGTCCAAATCTTCTCTGACACACAGAAGAACATTAAATACAGAAACAGTTCCAACTTGAAACATTTGCTTTTTGGCAATTCTATTTGTACATGTGGCTGTATGAACACTACTGAAGCCCACAAATACCAAGACTACTACTGCAACTGCAGAAATTACTGAAATTCTCTTCTACTGGCAGCAAGAGTAAACATGTCTAAAGGTTTCTTTGAATGGAGAGCAGCTACAAGGAATGGTTTTGACATCAAAATCAACTGGAAAACAACGATTTCAGGAAAAGTGTTAAAGAAACTAACACTATTTCAGATATTTTCTCCGTCAAATTTTTAGGACGAGTCACACAAACTTAACTGCCTGAGGTAGTAAGAGAGAATTCAATTACACTGTAAGATTTGGCTTGTTCGGGGAAAGGAGGGAGCAGCAGAAGCTTAGCAAAGCTTTGCCAACTTTCAATCCTCCCAAAGAGAATAAAATAAAAGCGACTACAGTACTGACCTTCTAGTACTACTGACAGTATTGCTACAAGAGATTATTGTTGTAGTATTGCTACAGATTGAAAATCAGTGTGAGAAAAGACCCTCACTTTTAAAATTTTTTAAAGGTTTATTAAACCGTGACAAAAATTACAACAAAAGACACAACAAGGAAAAATCACAGCACTGGCAGGACAGCCCTCCTCAGCAGGCTCCAGCCGGGTTTTCTCTCCTGACAGCTCAAGTCTGGCCTCTTCAAGAGCAGAGCTCGCTGTGCCCCCAGGGCTTTGCTGCTGGGAGCACTGGGAGAGATCCTGGGAACACTGGGAGGGAACTGGGAGCACAGGGAATGCCAGAGGGAACTGGGAGGGAGAGTGGGAGCAGCGGGAGTGAGCGGGAAGGAGCCCTGGGAGGGAAATCAGGAGCCCTGGGCAGGAACAGTGCTCCCAGTTCCTGCCCAGTGCTCTCCCCATCCCTGCTGGGGCTTGCCAGGAAGAGGGGGGATACTGGCAGGGAACTGGGAGGGAGCTCCTCAGCACTCTGCAAGGGCAGCAGCCCCAGGGGGGACCAGTGAGGAGGGGGAAGTGCCCCCAGTGCCTCCCCAGAGCCCCCAGAATGGGGCATTACAAGGAGAAAAGGGATTGAAATGGAGGGGGGAAAGCTTTTCTGTGATTGTGTTTGACCTGGGGGGATCCCCATTCACCTGTGATTTACGGGGTCTCAACTGAAGGAAAACTCACCTTTTTCATCTTTTTGGCTGCCTCCCTTGGTGGCACCTCCATTTTCCATGATTTTCATGTTTAAATGGAAGGAGGAACCCTTTATGGTGCTGTTTGAGGTGAGGGAAAGAGCCCCATTTCCATCATCTTCAGGTTCAAACTGAGCCAACACGGCTGCCCCTGGTCTGAAAGGGCTTCCCTGGAGAGGAACCTCTTGGTGTGCCACTGTAAGAGTTGCATCGAGGGGCCCCTCCATTTGAAGGGACCTTCACAGGTGAAAAAGATGTCCAAAAGCCCCCAGAATGGTCTTGGTTGAGGGAAATTGAAGTGGGAAGCTGCATTTCCCCTCGTTTTAGGCAACTAAATTGAGGCAAAGGCCCTTCTGTGAGAATAACTGGGGCTGTGTGTGATTGGCACAGAGCAGGAGCAGCCTTGCCCTCAGCAGGTCACAGCCCTGGCCCACGAGGATGGGTCACAAAAGGGTCGGGAAAGGCCACAGGACCTCAGCTCAGATGAGGCTTTTGACAGAGCCCAGAGATCTCCTCCTGGAACTCTGAAAACACAGGAAAATCAGGAGACAGCCCTGGCTGAAGGCACAGCAACCCTGCTGGAACAAGAGAAGGGACTAAAGGCTGAGCAGGCAGCGCAGGGAACGGCTGCAGACAGCCTGTTCAAAGAGAGGCATCTGCAGCTGGAGAGCAAAACAGAGAGATCCCAAAGTGACACCATGTCTTGTGCATAGTCACACAAAGATAGCTCAAAGTTCATGAAAAGCCAGCTATGAGTAAGGTAATAGTGTCTTATGAGTAATGCCTGTTACCAAAATGAGTGAATTGACATGATGGAACCGATCCATCAGCAGTGACTGTCTCAGGAATTGGAGCCAATATTCTTCCAGCATTGCTGTACCCACAACAATGGAACACTGAACAGCTTCCAGTGGCTAACAGCCATCATGTAGAACAACCACCCTCTCTCCTGTGCTATCTGTGGAAGATAGAACAGAAGAGATCACAGTGAATGATCCTGTCAGGCAGTGCAGCACTGACACCTGTGCAAGCTGTGAGAGGATCAAGGGCCCAACAAGCTGTAGCTTCTCCTATCCAAAAGCAGGTGCTTATCAGTGTTTCATCACAGCTGTTTCAGTGGCATCTGTCTTATCTCTAGAAGAAAATAACCACATCTTGCAATGCAAACCAACATATTTAAACCAAATTAACTTAGGACTTGAAATTAATTGCAGTGGAATTCAATTTCACCTCAGTGGCATTAGAGGTACAGTTAAGAGAATTTAAAGTAACATCTTTAATACTGAATAAAAATTGATCTTAGTAAAACTGGAATAGAACATGAAATGGCTTAAAGTGAAGACTTAATCTTGACCCTGTCTAAACTCAGCAATACTCAAACCTGACAGAAATCCACCTTGACATAAATGATTAGTAAAAAAATTAACTCAATAGAGTAATAAAGGTAACATTACTCAGGAATGTTGCTAACCTTGCTTAATCTTACCAAGACTAAAATCATATTCAAGTAAACCAGAACTGAAGTAACAATCAATATCCTTAAAAGTTCTGGGTCCTACAAAATGTAACTTACTCTGCTGCTATTAATACCAAAAGGCACTGAAAATGTGAACCAAGCGTGGCTGAAATAACAGCATGATGGATTTACTGGAGGGGTTAGAAAAGTGTGACAAATATGTTGACCCTATGTAATTTAACATCGAGAAAAACTCATGGCAGCCACAAATTGTATGGGACCATAAATTTCCTCAGACCTTTTAAAGTGCAATTGTACCGAAAGAAATAACAATGTGGAATTTGGCAAAGTGTCCAACAAACCGGAAGCTTCTCGAGATTGTATTTAGTGTAACAGCACGTGGTAAATGTTTGCAGCATTTCTGCTACAGGAAAGAGACAGGCGGGGGGGGGGGGGGCGGTGCTCGCGGCTCTGATTGGTCAGATCGGCCAAAATCCCTCCCCCACACGGAGTCGCCATAAAATTGAACGGCACCACCCACACCCAGCACTGCTGCTGGAACCGGAGCGGCGGCAGCGGCCAGCGCCCGGCAAGAGGCTGGCGGAGCTTGGAGGCGGCTTCCACACTGGCGCGACCCGCGGTCGGTTTTGCCCCAGCTCGGGGTCAGGGGTTCTGGTGAGTTCTATGTGCTGGATTCCTCTGTTCACAGGCAGGGAGCTCCGAGGCGCCGGGGCAGGGAATGCGGGGCACAATGGTGAGCAGCCCGGGGCTGCTGCTTCTTGCCCCTCGGCAGGGGCGGACTCCGAGCCGCAGCTGCCCCGGGCCAGCAGCAGCCGGCAGCTCCCGTTCCAGGGGCGAGGGCGCTACGAGCCGAGGCGGGCAGGCAGCGTTGCACACACGAGCGCGGCCGTCCGGGGGCAGGGGCGCGGCATGGAGGCTGTGGGCTGGGCGGAGCAACGGCATTGGCGGAGCGGGGCCGCGCCGAGGGTGGGCGGGGCGCGGAACCCGCCGGCCGCAGCGCGGGGCGGAGCGAGCGGCGGTGAGAGTGCGAGGGTGGGAGGATGCTGGCCCCGGGCACCTGACCTGGCCCAGCCCAGCCCAAGAATCCCTGCCAGCATTCCCTGCACCATTACCCGGCCCCACGGCGGCTCCGGCTCTGCGGGCAGGCGGCTCCAGGAGTTCAGAGTGGGCAAAATGGGAGCGGGGGACAGGAGGCAGCTGGTGCCAGTTGGTGAAATGGCTTTGCTGGAGCTGGTAGGGAGAGGAGGAGGAAGAAAGTGGTGCAAAGTAAAGGGGAGAGATAGAGGGACCAGGCTGGAGCGGTGGAAGGCGGCGGAGATGGCCATGGGGCAGGCGGGCATTTTGCTTTCCAGCTCTGTGGGAGGAAAGGAAGAACTGTCAAATCCGTGCAGGAAAAGAGGAGAGAAACAGATGATGGTGGATATCATCGATAGTTGAGATTCATTTTATCTGCCTGAACTGTAAAGGCCCTGCGGGGGGCAGTGCCGTCACAGCTCCTGTCCCGAAAAACTCGCAATAAAAAAAAGGAACCCATGTCGGTGAACCTCAGCCCCCGGGGAAGCTGCTTGTGGGGTCTCCCCTGCAGCGGGCCGCGACCCTCCGCTCTCCCTCCGCGATGCACGGACGGACCCTCGCTGCTTTCCCGCACGCTGAATGCTCAAAACGGCCAAAAGCGGCCCCCACACGACACCGGCTCTAAACTACGGTGGCAGCGGCCGTGCCCGCTGTGTCTGCCTGGGACGGAGCGGCTGCGGCGGGCGGAGCGTCCGGGTCATTCCCCAGCGGCGGCGGCACCCGGAGCCCGGCGAGGCGGCGGCGGAGCTCGGAGGCGGCTCCAGGCCAGGCGCCACCCGCGGTCGGTGCTGCCCCAGCTCCCGGAGGCTGCGCTTGTCTCCGCAGCTGCTGCCGCACCTCTGGGCAGCGGGGACGGCGCAGCCACGGCTGGCACCGCCCTCCTGAGCCCCCAGCGCCGGCACCAGCAGTGACGTCTCCCCGTGTCCCTTTCAGGGTGCCATCAGCGCGGCTGTGAAGCTGTTCCCGAGGCCGAGCTCCCAAAGGATCTGCCAGCAGCACTCCTGATGGGTCAGGAGCAAGGTGATGTTTGTTCCAGGCAGAGAGATGCCGCCTGTGAGCTGGCGGAGAGTGAATTCTACTCCATTCCCAGAGCAGCAAACAAGCCCCAGCATCCCCAGCAGGGACCAGCAGCCGCGGTTCCACACCTGCCTGGGGCCCAAGAAGCCACCTGGCATAAGCAGGGGGATGCCACTTGTGAGTGTGCAGTGAGTGCAGATGTGGAGAATGGATTCTGCCCCAGAAATGGGAGTGTGAGGGAGCCCCTGGCTCCCCAGGGCACATCAGCACCCAAGAATGAACACAAAAGGAACCTCAGAAGATTCCTGGGTGAGTGCAGGGCCACCCCTGTGGTCTCTGGGTGGGGACAGTGTCCCCTCCCAAAGGCAGGGCTGGCAGGTGTGTGGCTGTTTCCCGATGTCTGGAAGAGGCCTGGTGCTCTGCTGGGCCCCATCAGTGGCTGGAAGCAAGAGCCCCAGGTGCCCGCAAGGCTGTGCAGTTCTCCTGCTGCAGCCTGTGACCACAGCTGTGTCCCTGGCTGTGGCCACAGCTGTGTCCCTGCCTGTGGCCAGGCTCTTGGCTCTCTGGCTGCCAGCTGAGTGAGGCCCACACTGGCTCAGGGCTCCCTGCTCTGCTCCCTGGCCATGGGCTGAGCAGATTGCAGGCCCGGCTCTGCTTCTGGCAGCCAGCAGCTCTTTCCTGCTCCAGGTGAATGGATCAGGGGCCATCCCGAGGGCACGGCGGTGCTGATTCTGCTGCTCCTGGTGCTGGTGCTGGCTTTGGGGGTGGCCTTGGCTGTGCTGGCAGGTAAGGGAGGGGCAGCAGCCTGGGCCCAGCCCCTCGGGGCAGAGCGGGCTCCCTGCTCCCTGCACAGGGCAATCCTCAGACCTTCTCCTCTTCCCCCTGCAGCACCACAGGTTCCAGTCACAGCTGCGACTCCGCTGTTGGTTCTGGGCTGTCCCCGTGGCTGGGTTGGCTACAATGGGGTCTGCTACTACTTCTCACAGGATTACGGCACCTGGGAGCAGGGTCAGGAACGGTGCTCCGAGCTCGGGGCCTCCCTGGCCATTGCCAAGGATGAGGAGGCCATGGTGAGTGAGGGGCTGCGGGCGGTGTGGGGTGGCTGAGGGCAGCCTGGGGGTGCTCCTGGGCCGGGCTCGGTGCTCGTAGGGCCGGGGCTGCAGCCCTGGGCCGGGGCCTTGCAGGGAAGGAGCCCCGGCGTGCGGGGGGAGCCCCGGGCCCGTATCCCCCCGAGGGGCCGGGGCAGCTCCCACTCCTCCCCTCTCTCCTGGGCAGATTTTGCTCTCCCGTGTCTGCGGGAACGTTGATTACTGGCTCGGGCTGCGCAGACGGGGCGAGCGCCTGCACTGGGGGGACGGCAGCAGCTACAGCTCCCGGTGAGTGCCGGGGAGCCGGGCAGGGCCTGGGGGCACAGGGGCACAAGGGCTGCCCCTGGCTGCCAGCGCTGCCTCTGCTCCTCCCCGCAGGGTTCCTGTCCTCGGCAATTCCCAGTGTGTGTACCTGGCTGATGAGAGATTCAGGAGTGACAACTGCTCCAATGAGCGGCCGTATCTCTGCAGCAAGGCCCCAGCTCCCCTGTAACAGGGGCTGCAGAAAGGACCTTCTCCACACTGGGCAGTGCCAGCTTCACCTCTGAGCCCAGCACAGCGCTGTCCTTCCTCAGCTGCAGCCTGTGCCTTGCCCTCCCTCTCAGGGTCACCTCAGTGCCTCTTCATGCCCAGTGCCAACGCTGGGCTGGGGCTGCAAAGGAAAAGTCTCTGCAATCCATCCTGCCACCGCTGCTGCCTGCAGTGACTGCATAGCCCCCATGACACAACAAGCTCCAATGGGAAATCCAAATCACCCTGGGCTCTTGGAATTGATCATAAGGTAGCCTGAACTTTGCACTTTATGACTGTCTTTGGAAGAGGAAGAAGAACAGCTGACACGTGCTGAGGAGGAATCCCACTTTTGGCATCAGGTACCTGACTGTGGAGAAGGGTCTGTCAGCTGCTGGCTCTCTCTCAGCTTTGAAGGAGGATGGTCAGAGCTGTTTCTTTGGGGAAGGGAATTCACTGCCAGTGCCATAACCAGTCCAAACCTGCTGCTTCTGCCTTCTCCCTCAGTCCAAAATCAGCCAGGCCTTGCCATTGCACACTCAGCTGGAGATCCTCATGTGTGGGACTTGGCCCAACTGTGACTCAGACTCAGCTGGGTTTTACCCCAAAAGAGCCAGGCATTGGCTTCCAGCCCTGGGAATCATTTGTTTAATTCAGGGCCAGCCTGAGAGTTCCCCCATCAGCCTTTGGTGTTTTTATGTTAAGTTGCCCAAGTTCTGCTCTCCTCCTGGTTACTTGTTTCCCCCGTAGGGTTACAGTTCTAGAATGTTCCACCCTGAGTGTATCCATTGTTGCTTCCCCTTTGTTTGGGGTCTTTGGATCCTGCCCCTCTTATTGTGCACGGCTGCTCCAGGTTTGTTGTTTCTCACCCTTTATGAAAGTTCTTTCTGGGCAGCTCCATGGAACCCGCTCCTTTTCATTTCCACCACCCTCGCCTGAAGTCAGGGAACCAGAGAGGTTTGTCACAGCCACCCTCACTCTGACACTTACAGAAAAGCCTTTAAAAATACTTTTTGTATAAATATTGCATTATTCAGACATTCTTTTGGAGCCAATTCCCCTTTCTTTTTGTTTTAAAAATAACATGCATGTCCCTTGCTATGGTCATGAAGGGAACATCAAAACAAAACAATACATGCAGTGAAACAAGAAACTGACAGTAATCAAGAATAAGTCAGATAATAAACATAATTAATAACACTTGTGAAATTGGATGGTCATCAATGTCTAAAACACTGCACCATCACCCAGAGCCTGCAGCAGCTGCCAAACCTCATTTCAGTGAGGACCTGGAGAGCCATTCCCAGGAAAGGTGTCCAAGCTCACTTTTAAAATAGATCCAGCTGTCCTATTGTTAGAGGGTCAAATTGCCAAGGCCAAGAGACTTGAATATAGTTTTGAGGCAGAGAAAACATCTGGGCTTGTTGGCAATTTTCTGACCAGGCAGAGCCAGGGCCTGGCCAGAGCCCAGACCCTCATTGGGAGGGTCTCCCTCACATACCTTAAAAAGAAATCTCTCAATAATAGCAGCTATGAGATGCCCCAAACACAGCAAACTGCTGGAGTGCTCCTGTGAGAATAACTGGGGCTGTGTGTGATTGGCACAGAGCAGGAGCAGCCTTGCCCTCAGCAGGTCACAGCCCTGGCCCACGAGGATGGGTCACAAAAGGGTCGGGAAAGGCCACAGGACCTCAGCTCAGATGAGGCTTTTGACAGAGCCCAGAGATCTCCTCCTGGAACTCTGAAAACACAGGAAAATCAGGAGACAGCCCTGGCTGAAGGCACAGCAACCCTGCTGGAACAAGAGAAGGGACTAAAGGCTGAGCAGGCAGCGCAGGGAACGGCTGCAGACAGCCTGTTCAAAGAGAGGCATCTGCAGCTGGAGAGCAAAACAGAGAGATCCCAAAGTGACACCATGTCTTGTGCATAGTCACACAAAGATAGCTCAAAGTTCATGAAAAGCCAGTTATGAGTAAGGTAATGGTGTCTTATGAAGAATGCCTGTTATCAAAATGAGTGAATTTACTTGATGGAACCGATCCATCAGCAGTGACTGTCTCAGGAATTGGAGCCAATATTCTTCCAGCATTGCTGTACCCACAACAATGGAACACTGAACAGCTTCCAGTGGCTAACAGCCATCATGTAGAACAACCAGCCTCTCTCCTGTGCTATCTGTGGAAGATAGAACAGAAGAGATCACAGTGAATGATCCTGTCAGGCAGTGCAGCACTGACACCTGTGCAAGCTGTGAGAGGATCAAGGGCCCAACAAGCTGTAGCTTCTCCTATCCAAAAGCAGCTGCTTATCAGTGTTTCATCACAGCTGTTTCAGTGGCATCTGTCTTATCTCTAGAAGAACTACATCTTGCAATGCAAACCAACATATTTAAACCAAATTAACTTAGGACTTGAAATTAATTGCAGAGTAATTCAGTGTCACCTCAGTAGTATTAGAGGTACAGTTAAGAGAATTTAAAGTTACATCTTTAATACTGAATAAAAATTGATCTTAATGAAATTGGAATAGAACATGAAATGGCATAAAGTGAAGACTTAATCTTGACCTTGTCTAAGCTCAGCAACACCTGACAGAAATCCACCTTGACATAAATGATTAATAAAAAAATTAACTCAATAGAGTAATAAAGGTAACATTACTCAGGAATGTTGCTAACCTTGCTTAATCTTACCAACACTAAAATCATATTCAAATAAACCAGAACGGAAGTAACAATCAGTATCCTTAAAAGTTCTGGGTACTACAAAATGTACCTTGTTCTGCTGCTATTAATACCAAAAGGCACTGAAAATGTGAATCAAGCGTGGTTGAAATAACGGCCTGATTGATTTACTGGAGGGATTAGAAAAGTGTGACAAATGTTGACCCTATGTAATTTAACATTGAGAAAAAGTCATGGCAGCCACAAATTTTATGGAACCATAAATTTACTCAGACCTTTTAAAATGCAATCGTACCGAAAGAAACAACAATGTAGAATTTGGCAAAGTGTCCAACAAACTGGGAGCTTCTCGAGATTGTATTTAGTGTAATAGCATATGGTAAATGTTATCAGCATTTCTGTTAAAGGAATTCGATTGTGTTACGCTGCACGTAACAATAAGGCACTGGATTTAGCGCTTTGAATCACTCCAATAACAATTCTCAGAGAAATCAGAGTTCACTAAAAACAGAATATTAGCTTTAAAGAAGAATTCCAACACATGTTTACGGCATTCTAGAACACGGTGCGTGAGGCTTCAGTAACCAGGGGCAGTCAGAGCCCTTGCGGCAAATGCCGGGGGTTCGCCCCGCCGCAGGGTTGGGCAGCCACGGGGGCGAGGAGTGAGTTCCGCCGGGGCCAACGGAGACGCCGTGACGCCACGGGCAGCCGACGCGCCTGACTCTATTCCGTCTGCCACAGATGTTTCCATTGCGTTCAGCAGAGAGTAAAATGTTTGGGTTCAGATCCCTCCCTCCGGGCTCCCCGAGGCGGCAGAACGGTGAAGGAGCCGATCCCGGCGAAGGCAGCGGGGAGTGCCGGGCAGAGAGGACCGCGGCGGGAGCGGGGAGCAAAACGACCGCACCGGGGCTGTGTTCCCGCCCGCTGATTGATCGATTCGGCCTTAAACCATTAAGCACTCCAAAAACGGGAATTTACAGCGGCAGCGGCGGCTCCACGTGTGTCAGCCTGGGACCGCAGCGGCGGTGGAGCCCGGGGGCGGCTCCAGCCCAGGTGGGAGCCGCGGTCGGTGCTGCCCCAGCTCGGGGCTCGCTGCGGGCGGAGGGGCCGCGCTGAGGGCCGGGGGGTTCTGGCGAGTTCCTGGTGGCGGCTTCCCCCGTGTCCCCCCTGCGCTGGGATCGCCGAGGGAGCGGCTGCCCGCGCTCTCCTCCTTGCCCGGATGGCCGGCATGGAGCCGGTGACGCGGCAGCGCTGGCTCATCCCGGCTGCTCTCGCTGGCACGGAGGCGGCTGCTCCGTGCCCGGCGCCGTTCCCGCCCGTGCGGCACCGGGCTCGGGGCCGCTGCTCGGGGGGGAGGTGTCCGTGCCCGGCTCGGGGCTGGCACGGGATGAACTTGAACGGGCCTCAGAGCCCAAAGCGCTGCAGGCGCCGAGTGCGGGCACAAAGCGCCGCATCCTGCCTGCTCCGGGGCCGAGGCTGCTCGGCGCTGCTCTTTCTGTAAAACAAGGTTCACCTTCCTGGTAAAATTTGTAAGTTTAATAAAAAGACAGTAGGCGACAGAAGTAAGGCGAAGGGTTAAAAACGGGCCGGGTGCTTCGCTTTCAGCCGAGAGCACAGTTATCTTTGGGGATACCCCTCTAACAGTTTTTTCATTATATCAGCTTGTTGCATGTTCAAAGACCCTTATGCATATTGGTATTCTTCCATTAACTAGTTGACGCATTCCAGGACCTATTTTGCATGTGCTCTTGAGTTTGCATGTTTAGAGCATGCTTGTTCCTTCGCTGGGGTTTCGGTCTGTTCTTTTTATCACTTCCAATTTGGGCCTTGGTGCATACTTTCTTCAGATGGCATATGCGGATAGCTGGCATATCAATAGCAGGGGCCTCATTACATGTTCACTGGATGTTATCCCGACCAAACAGAC